AGAATTGGCAGAGGGGCATGTGATTTGAAATCATATTAGTTCGAAAGGAGGTATTTATATGACGGCTAAGCCAATTCTAGGTACTAAAACTCAAGATTGAAAGTTATGCAAATGAGTGGAGACACTGAGAAGCCAGTGAGGGTGCTCTTTAAGAACTCAAAACATTCGAGAGTTTGAAAAAATATTGAAAATTGTCGATTTGGCAGAGGGGCATGTGATTTGAAATCATAAGTTCGAAAGGAGGTATTTATATGAAGGTTAAGCCAATACTAGGTACTAAAAGTCAAGATTGAAAGTTGTGCAAATGAGTGGAGACACTGAGAAGCCAGTGAGAGTGCTCTCTAAGGACTCAAAACATTCGAGAGTTTGAAAAAATATTGAAAATTGTCGATTTGGCAGAGGGGCATGTGATTTGAAATCATGTTAGTTCGAAAGGAGCTATATATGACGACTAAGCCAAATCTACGTACTAAAAGTCAAGATTGAAAGTTATTCAAATGAGTGGAGACACTGAGAAGCCAGTGGGAGTGCTCTCTAAAAACTCAAAACCTTCGGGAGTTAACCAATTTGAATTTTATAGTTGGTATGACATTTGCCACAGGTTCTTTATTAATCTGTCCACTTTCATAATTGTGGTTTAACACTGTATTTTATAAATGCGCTTGCTGTTGGTTTTGTTAAATTTATTCGAAAGTTATTTGTATGGAAGAGTGGAATTTGGTTCTCAAAAATCGGTTCGAATTATTGGAACATTCAAGTTATCGAATTTCGAATTAAAGAAAGTCTGCTGCATTAGTAGTTTTATTAAGAAAGCATAATTATATTTTTATTCAAAAAATATGGATTCGTCTAAAAAAATATCTGCAAAAATATCTGGAACATTTTCAATTTCTGCAGTTCTTGCAAGCTGTGCAAAGTATTCTTTTTGATCCGACCCCAATATATGAGGTTTACCTTGGGGACGTCCCTTGTCAATACAAATTTTAGCTTGCATCTCCATATCTTTCAACATGTCTTTGTATGATGACAATTGCTTGCGTCCAGAAATAAATGTTAATGCAAAGCGTGCCTAATGTTAAGCGTGGAAAATTTTGTGTAGTGATAACAATAAGCATTAATAGATTCATCTCACAATTGGGAGTTGTTAAGCTTTCGTACGATAAAAGAATTTACGTAGAAGCTAAATTGTTTTTTTAAACTTACCTGCAAATCATACATGGGATTGTGGGCACCACCAGAAGTTATCTTAAAAATATAGAACTTTGTAATTAAAAGAAGAGAAATAAAGAATCGTTTTGATAGTACCCCGATGAAAGCCATCGTTGTGTGTTTAATGTTCAGTATATGCTTGTATAATGGTTCAACGGAATAGTCCTTAACATGAATACCGGTGTTTTTATCAAGAAAAGGATATGAATATCTATAACCTGCGGATTCAATGATCGGACAATTTTCATTTCAAAATAATTTTAAAATTTTCACGATTAAAAATAAAACAAATGAAAATACATAAAAATTAAACAAAATTAATGTAGACTCCCAATTTCACCTGTAGCGTAGATAACCACTGTGTAATTTTGAAGCGACCCATCTTGAAATTCAACCCCATATTTGGTGAAACGCTTCACTTCCCCCTTCACTGTGAAAGCTGACTCTTGTGTACTTTGTAGGTTCTTCTTTTTTCCAATGAAACAACTAGCGCATAGAGCACGTGCTTTTCCTATAAATTAAGTTTTATTAGCTTTAGATGCTATTAGCTCAAATCTATAAAAATACCCATGAATTTATTCTCTTTCGGAGGTTCTTTTGATATAGGCATTTGGTAGCTGTGCGTTAATCTGTTGACAGTTCCAGCTTCGAGGAGCTGATCCACTATATCTTTTCCACTCGGGCCACTACCGATCACTAGAACACATTCGCCTTCATTGCAATCAGAAAAAGTTAACCTCACAATCATACGATACAAAACATAACAAATTAGAGGTGTTCACGGAATTTTCGATCTCGAACTTATTCGTAAATTCCGTAGTCAATCGGATATTCAGTCGGGCCAACTTGATACAAAATCGTTTCTCTATCGATAATTTTGTAATTTTTTATGAACTTCTTAAGTTCATTCGTAAGAAAAAAATTATGCTTCCGATGAATTAAATTCGATATTCTTGAGTTTTTAATACGATCCTGATGTTTCATGAATCTGACACGATTCGAATGATTTTGTTTCGTACCGTGAATACCTCTATGAAAAAATGTCAATCTTCAAGTACTAATCGTAAGTACTAACTCTTGTCATTCAAGAAAAAATATTTTGAGGAAGCGAAAATGAAAAATGTCTCTTGTAAATTATTTCGGTGATTTTCATCAATCATCATACCGTTAAATTTATCAGGTTTACGATAACTACGACTGTGCATGATTTTTCCTTTAAATTCAGTGACGCCCTTTATTTTCGGGATTCGTGGGGAAGAATTGATACCACTGCAAACAAAAACGGCATCAAATAAACTTTTTTCGTTGCGGTTTATAGGCAAGTTTCTGACACTTATTTTCCACTTTTCGTCTGGAATGGCGAGAACTTTCTGAACCAAGTGATGATACTTTATATGCACAGTTAAATTGAAACTTTTGGCATAAGAATCCAAGTACTTCCACACAACGTCATGTGTTGGAAACATCTCAGTGCCTGATGGAAAGTGAAAGCGAGGAAATTCCATATCTTTGTAAAAAGTATTTGTGCTATAAATCAATAATATTTTTACTTTAAATTAATATTGATTAACACAGCTAGCATTCATTTTTGCTACCTACCTAAGTTTATAATACATCGGAGTATGAATATCAATATCGTATTCGTCTTTCCCAGTTTTGTCGGTATAATACCATA